TATATATATATATATCACACAAAATAACTATAAAAATTAACTAAGAAAATTAAAAGAGTTAGAGTATCTCCCCTGATAGAAGAATTGCAGTTCTCAGGTGCAAGCCTGCCTACCATTCCAAGATTTAGAGAATTGCTGTCCTCAGCAATAATTAAACCACGAGAAAGAAGAAAAACCTCCACAATAGAACAAACAGTGGCATATAGAAGAAACTATAATGCGCACATTAAAACATCAGAGAAAAAATATACTAACACAAAGTAACTAAAGAAAAGAAATACGAAACAGAAAAATAAACTAATATACAAGTTCTCCATCAGCAAGGAGATATACTCAACCCTCTATGTCATCCCCCTCAGCAGCGTGGGATGACTTGACAAATGGAGGATCTGGTGGTATTGGATGCCTTGGTGTGTGAGACCACCATTCCCAGATTTGGTCCAAACCAAGAAGCTATGTTAAGAACTCTTTGAATCTTTGATGTTTCCGAGCGATAGAATCTCGGTGTCTCTTGTCAAATTTCAGCTCCCGATGTCTCTTCCAACTCGTATCAAAGAGTTTCACCACTTCTTTTCTCAGCACCTTCTTCAGCATAGGATGACGCCTCCTTTTGGATTTCCTCCCAGGTTTGTCATTATCCTCATTGAGAATTTTGTTGGTATGGGAAAAGGATCTTTATTTTTCAATTCAGTTTCCTCTTCCTTCAGTGCTTCAATCACTGCCTCCTTATTACCCAAGAAGACATTTTTTTGAGGTTGAGGAAGCTCCTTCAAATCCACCCTTATGGCATCATCCGCTACACTTTGTTTTTCCTTTACTTCAAGACTAAAACAATCATCTTTGTGAGAAGACTGTTTTAAAGAATCAAAGACGTTGATGGTAACGGTCTCATCATTCATCCTTAGCTCAAGCTTCTCGTTTTCAACATCAATCAGTGCCCGAGCAGTAGCCAAGAAAGGTCTACCCAGTAAAAGAGCCATCTCAGCTCCCCCTTCCATGTCCAACACTACAAAATCAGCAGAAAAGATGAACTTGTCTACCTTTACAAGAACATCTTCAATAATACCACTAGGCTTCCTCAAAGACTTATCAGCAAGTTGAAGAGATGCCAAAGTGGGCTTTAACTCGGTGATCCCCAAGGATTTACAAACTGAAAGGGGCATCAAATTAATGCTAGACCCAAGATCGCATAATGCTCTTCCAATTTGTGTGTCCCCAATTTCAATAGAAATTTTGAAACTCCCTGGATCACTGAGTTTGGGTGGGAACTTCTTCTGTATGATGGCACTACACTCTTCAGTGAATGTTACAGTTTGGCATTCCTGCAGCTTGTGTTTTTTTGATAACAAGTCCTTCATGAACTTGGCATAATTAGGCATGTAAGCCAAGGCTTCAGCAAATGGAAGATTGATATGAAGCTTTTTGAATATATCAAGGAACCTGACATATTGTTGCTTGTGAGCATCCTTCGTGAACCTTTCAGGATAGGGTGCCATGGCTCTCACATATTCGGGACTTAGCTCAAACTTCTTCTTTTCAACTGGCTTCTCCACTTCAGCAGGTTTTTCAATTTTTTCTTTTTCGGGCTCACCTGCAGTATCTAGCTTTTTCTCAGCTTCCACATTTATGCTCGGCTTTTCTGGAGCAGCCACCACTTTGCCACTTATAGTTGCGACAAACATACAATCTTCCTTGGGATTTATAACTTTGTTACTAGGGAAATTACCTGGAGTTCTATCAGCAACTTGCTTGCCAGCTGGCCAATTTGATTCTCCAGATTTCTAATTGAAGCACTCATGTTTCTGGTATTAGCCCTAGTCTCTTTCATGAAAGCATTTGTATTTTTTGTATTGGCTCTAGTCTCTTCCATAGAAGCATTGGAGTGTTGAGCCATTGGTCCAACTAATCTCTCCAAATCAGAAAGTTCCTTCTGTGGAATAGGAGGAGGTTGCATAAAGTTGTTTGAGCTATAGTCAAGACCACCTCCTTGACCTCTCCTTTGAAAATTACTTTTGCCAGGAGAACTCTGATTTCTTTGAAAATTTTGTTGCGGCTTCTGCTTATACCAAACCCCATTCACTTGCAACTGCTATGGATTATCACCCATTAAAGTGGGACACTCATTAGACTCATGAGCTTCCTTGGAGTATTCACACATCACAGAAGTTGATTGAACCTTGGACACTTGCATTTTCTCAAACTTCTCATTCAAGCTGTCAAACTTTTTGGACAACAGCTTTTGTTCAGCAAGTATAGCATCATTGTTTTCCAACTTTATTACTCTTTTTCTTGCCTGAACTGGGAAGCTCTCATTCTCATTTCTTGCAAGTTTCTTGATCAAGTCAATGGCTTGCTCAGATGTACTCTGCCGAATAGAACCCCTAGCTGTACTATTTATCACCAATCTTGTTTCAGGAGAGATGCCATTAAAGAAGATTGCTACCTTTCTGTCATCATCTCCCTCATAGTGCGGACACTTCCGGATAAGTTCCTGGAATCTCTTCCAGGTTGCACGCAGCGATTCTCCTTCAAACTGGCGGAAGTTTGTGATCTCATTTACCAGCTGGTTGTACTTCTCCATAGAAAAGAACTCGGCAAAGAACTTTGTGGACAAATCTTCCCAAGTCATGATACTATTAGCTGGCTGCCTCTCTATCCATCTGAGAGCTTTTCCCTTAACAGCAAAAGGGAATAATCGCAGCCTGATAGCATCAGCAGACACTCCATTGTGCTTCGTAGTGTCACAGATCATCAGAAATCAATCTATGAACTCATGAGGATCTTCCTCCTCAGCACCAGAAAACTGAACCCTTTCCATCAAAGTAATCAGAGATGGCTTCAGCTCAAAATTGTTTGCCTCCACCTTCGGCCTGATTATACTTGAATTTGGCTATTGAACACCGGAGTCAGAATGGTGTCCAACAATCTTGGAGGTGGGTTGTTTGCATTGTTGTTACCTGTCATTTCTTGTATTGTTTGTACAGGTACGTTGTTGAATTCTTCCCAGATTATCTGCTTGGCAACTTTCCTCAGTCTCCTCTCAGTTCTTGCAATTTCAGAATCAATTACAAAATCTGTAGGGGCAAGTCTACCTCGCATAAACTCAGAAAACAAAATAATTAGTAGCACCTGCAAACACAAAACAAGATACAACAAAATAAAATAAAATAAAATAAAAAAATAAAATAAATAAAAATCCAATCTCAAAGATCAACGGTTATTTGTAATATTGGAATTAGCAATCCCCGACAACGGCGTCAAAAACTTGATGCTCTCCGGCAAGTATACCGATCGCACAAGTAATATAATGAGTAAGTAGAGTATCGTCTCCACAGGGATTGTAAACCAAGTACTACAATAACCAGTCCCCTTAAGTTGGAAAACTCGGTTTGTTGTTTGGAAAATTGTGAATTGAATTTGAGTAACAATATAAAATAAAGACTTGTTTTTATATTTTTATGTAAGAGAAATAAAACAATGACAATGAGAATTGATTTAAAAATATGAGAAAAGTATTGTAGCTAGAGCGCACTCACCTTATGATCCCCACTTCTTACTTTGGATTGATTTACAACATTAATTTATAAAATTACTCGGATAAATTATTATCTAAAATAATTAGTTAAATCCCAATCCCTTGGCAATTTAACTCTTTAATCCCCAATTGGAATCCTAATCCCTTAGCAACCCCTCATGAAAATTAAGCGATGAACTCTATAATTTAGGCATCCACAATTCAATACACATCTATTCCTAGCATGCATACGAACTGTTATCTTACCCCCTTTCAGCAAGAAAACCCCAATATCCCTATCTAGGGTTCTAACCCTCACACTATTATCAACTATTAGAGTGATCAATTCTAATAAAGAAAATATCAAATACGAACAAGGTAAAGATAAAGATAATTATATAAACGAACAATTATAAATCAATCCGCGTAACAAGGGTTCACATAGGGTTTGTGACCCTAACTACAATAAAAGAAAACTAGCCAAGCATAATCATGGCTAAAATAATTCAATATTCAAAAGCATAAAATTAAGAAGAAAAGAGAAGAAGAAGAACTGTAGAATAATCCTCCTGAGCTCTGCCGTCGGTCTCGTTCTGAAGAAATAGGTCTGAATCCCTAATTCTATCAAAAGGATCCTATTTATATGACTCTTTTCCTTCTTCCAAAAATACCCCCGAGATAACACGGTACTTCTATCCCGCAACCCGGCGCCAGTTGGCGCCGTTTTGGCGCACGTTTGCGCCAACTTCCTACCCAATGTATGCTGCAATTCAGAACTAATTCCCGTGGCTCGGCGCCAGTTGGCGCCATCCTTCTCATTTGGGCGCCAACTAGTGCCACTTCTCCTTGACTTGGGCGCCTAGCTAGTGGCGCCATTCTTCTCCTTGTTGGGCGCCTAGTGGCGCCATGATGCTAGGAGGCGCCATTCTGCTTCACTTTGGCGCCACTTAGCATGAGTTTGGCGCTAAGTGGCGCCATTTCTCTGGACCTTCGCCTATGTTGCACCCGGATGGAATTTTCCTACGTGTGGAGGTGCGTCAACAGGCTTTTTATAATTTGTAATTTTCACTCCTCTTTTCCTGTAAAAACACAACCAAAAGGTGAATATTATTGACATAGAAAGAATCAATATAAATAGCAAATATGTATTTAAATTGCTTTCTTATGACCCAATCCTTATCAATTTTAACATGGAAAAACCACACTTGCTAGAGGCACATCAGGTATCAACAGAACCTGAAGGTTGGCGAGTAGAACCTAAATGATTGCACAATAATGTCAGGAGCTGATTACAACTTGTCTGATCAAGGTTGTGAAGAATACTATCCAGAAGGGCACTTGACGGAGGCTGAATAGATGGAATATGAGAGGAAGTTTAATTAGCCACAACTACTTTAGCAAAATATTAGTTATTTTTCAATTTGGGCTTAAAACCTAGAGGGTAGCCATGTAACTTGTAACAGTTATCAATGGTATGACCATGATATTAGCAATGAGTGCATAAAGGGCATTTTCTGCGAGGTCCTTTGGAATTAGCATCAGTTTTAGTCACAAATGCTAGTGTGTTCGAGGGAGCAGCAGTGGAAAATGCATGAGGAGTAATCTGACGTTGTCGTTCCTCTTGAACTACCAGAGAAAATACTTTGTTAATGGGAGGAAGAGGGACATTGAGCAAAATTTGACCCCTGATTTGGGCAAAAGAATCATTTAAACCCATAAGAAATGCCATAGTGTACTCCATTTGAATATAAGAGAGAAAATCGCAGACACCACCACAAGTACAAGAACCACAAGAACAACTTGGCCGAAAATTGCTTAATTCTTCCCATAAAGATTTGAGTCTAGTAAAGTATACACTCGCAGAACTGTTGTCCTGATGAAGACTAGTCAAATCTCTTCTTAACTGAAAAATCCTAGGTGCATTGCTTTGTTGAAATCGATATTTTAGATTGGTGCATATATCAGCAGCAGATTCCGAATGTATGATAGTAGTAGGAATTTCTTTGGACACATAATTTAAAATCCAAGAAATTACAATGTTGTTGTTTCTTGTCCAAGAATGAAGAAGTTGAGAATCATTACCGTCAAGTTTGGAGATGGAGCCATCAATAAATCCAAGCTTGTTCTTAACTGATAAGGCAATTTTCATGGTGCGACTCCAAGATCCATAGTTATCTCCTGTGAGCGCTTGCAAAACCAGAACTAGGTCTGGAATGTCAGAGTGGTGCAGATAAAACGGACTCTGCAGATCTGCTGCTTCCGATCGAACCTCTGGAACAGTGATTGGATTAGGATTTTCTGAATCGGAATTTGAAGCAGCCATCGCGAACAAATATGAAGGTATGTTAGGGTTCCAATCAAAGGTAAAACGAAAAAAAAACGGTGAAGGAAAAAGAACATGCAATGTGAAGGAATCACTAATCAATGTAAAAGAGAACAAAATCGGTGAAGAAAAATTAGGGATCAGATGTGAAACGAAGCAAAAATGTATCAGTTGATACCATATTACACATGAATCAGATGAAAAAAGAAATGAGTTTTTATGAGAGAGAAAAGAGTTTTCTAGAAGAATGAAAAACCACTTACTAACAATAATGGGAAATGTATTTATACAAGAGAATATGTGACGTCAAATAAAAATAAATACAAACAGTAGTTACAATAAAACTAAACTAAAATAACAACTACATAGTTAATTATAAAAAAATATATATGTAATAGGCCAGAAGAGGGAAATGAATTGGAAAATAAACTCTTTACAATAGATTCATGGTGACAATTTGTTCGTTGGTCCACTTTGATGAAACAACCCATCAACTTATTGTGTAGCCAAACCCGATCGTGTTCAACGATTTCACATCCTGTATTTCACACTTTCACAGTGATCAATAAAGAAAACGAGGGAACTATTTAATGACAATGAAAGATTAAAATGGATATCAAATTGAACGGGAATTTGGGAAAACAACTTCTTATTTTTTTTAATAAATAGAATAAAGTTTGATATAAGGAAGTCAATTTGCTGCAGACAGACTTCCTAATTTTGAAAGGAAAGTATATTTTGAGAAATAAACTTTCAACTATGGTAATATGAAGAAAAAAATTAAAGTATAGTTTTCCATAATAACCTAGCTACTTGAACTTTACTCATAAAAAATGGTTGTAGAATAGTGAACAGGATGGAATATATATATATATATATATATATATATATATATATATATATATATATATGGAAAAATAATTTCTCATGTTGCATTAAAATTCAATTCTCATGTTGTGACCTTTCGATTTGCGTGCAAAATTTTTATTTTCCTTTTTTCTTTTTAATAAATGTGGGGCACACCACTAGTTGAGTCACAACATGAGAATTCAATTCTCATGCAATATGAGAAAATCAAACCAATATATATATATATATATATATACATTGTTTCCTTCTAAAAAAAGGTCTTAAGTAAGGTGCTAAACAAATGAGGGACTTTAGTCTCGGCTCATAAAGATATGAGCTTACATGTTTAAAATTAGCTGTTGTATTCAGATTTGAATTTGTATAAAAGCTCGTTTAATAAAAAGGCCTCAGGCTTCAATTCAAAAGTCTGGCCTTAAAGCCTCTCAAGCTGACCTTAAAGCCTCTCAAGCTGGCCCTGTATACTAACTTTTATTTTTATTTTATATATTTTATACTACTCGTGATAATACTCTATCTCTCCTCAATCCGTTTCTCTCCATTTTATTGGTTAAACAGATTTTTTGAATGATTTTGTTCTATATTATGTTATTTGGATATATATTGAATTTATGAATTTTGTGAAATTATTAGTGTTATTGATCGTATTTCTGCTTGAATAAATTTTTATTGTCTTATTTTTTTATTACAGACTATATCAGGCTTTTATTTTTTATAAATAAGTCAAGTCATAAGTTGTTATAATAGATAACAGACTAGTTTAAACTGGTAAATTTAAACACAAACATAACTTTTTAAGAGCATAGCCCAACCAAACACAATCCGTTAACACCACTAATCTTAAGTCTTAACAATGAATAAAGGTAAAACTAGAAGAGTGCCAACGCTAAAACAAGGAATCTATTGTGTGATAAATTGGGATCGAGTGCTTTGTTCTTTGTTGACGGGACGTGATAAATTGAAATTCTTTACTTTATTAAGCTGCCTGGGCCAACCCAGTCCAAATCTTATTAAAGCTAAAGCATAATCAAAACAAGAATACTTATCTTTTTATAATTTAATCGAACACTTATTTTTTTTATATTTAAAATAGAACCTGTGAACGCTTAATTGGTTCGAGTTGAAGGTATTTGAGTACCTTAAATATGCAATTTTGGGTTCGATTCCAAAATTAATGTTTTTAAAAAATACTGTTAAGAAATATCATTCTACTCCGATCCCTGGATTGATTACTCGTCCGAATATTATTTGAATATTATGCTAATGATTAGAAAAATATAAAATTGATTAATATAAGTTCACTAAACCACTTGAGTTTTTAGGTTAAAATTGATTCTTTACATAAAATTATTTATATTTTTTCGTTTCCCACAGACAGCGCCAATGTTCTGTCTGAAGACAGAGATGTCCAGCCGGTGGCTGGTATATTTTATGTAGGATCTAGGTGTCCTCTCTCAAGTATCTATGAATGAGATGCCCTTGAGGGTAGGCTGATCACTGTGCACAATAATAATCGATATGATCAAGGCGTGGGGTGTGTGCACAGTGACAAGTTAAGAGAGAGGGTTTAGAGAGTGTCCGTACCTTATTGGTTTAACCCTGTATTTATAGATGGGTTACCTGAAGGAGTGTAATTCTGGGCCTCTTAAGAATATTGGGGGCCCAAGTCCAACTGCTTAGCTGTCTGGATAGGATTGTCATCAATAGGAGATTCCCTTCCTTTTGTGCTGTCCTTTATTGGTCCTTCTAGAATACGGGCCTTTGTCAGGTCCATAACAGTTGCCCCCTAGCCCGGTAGTTTGGTTGTCCAGGCTACCGGGATGTAATAGCAGTGATCTCTTCATTTTATTTCGCAAGTCTGATTTCTTGTCAAAAGTTGGATGTGTTGCTTTCATAACAATAATTTTGATTTCTTCGCAAGAACTTGAGAATCTAAGGGCGTTCCCCTATCTTCCAAGATTATTTACCTCGGCTAGAACTCGCAACCTTACCCGTAGGCAATAGGGTTCAAGTACCTCGACATTGTTGGCCGGGCTAGAACTCGCAATCTTGCCCTTGGGCAAGACGGGTTCAAATACCCCTGCATTGTTGCGAGGCTAGAACTCTCAATCTCGTCCTGTGGGCGAGACGGGTTCAAATACCCCTCCATAGTTGCGAGGCTAGAACTCTCAATCTCGCCATGTAGGCGAGACGGGTTCAAATACCCCTGCATTGTTGCGAGGCTAGAACTCTCAATCTCGCCCTGTGGACAAGACGGGTTCAAATATCTCGTGTCTGTTTTCGTGGCTAGAACACTCAATCCTACCCTTTGGGTATGACGGGTTCAAATCCAACAGATTTCCTTACGGGGCTAGAACACTTTATCCTGCCCTTTGGGCTGGACGGGTTCAAATACCTTGTGTCTGTTTCCGCGGCTAGAACACTCAATCCTACCCTTTGGGTAGGACGGGTTCAATTCCGCTGGATTGCCTTACGGGGCTAGAACACTCAATCCTACCCTTTGGGTAGGACGGGTTCAATTCCGCTGGATTGCCTTACGAGGCTAGAACACTCTATCCTGCCCTTTGGGCTGGACGGGTTCAAATACCCCGGATTCCCTTGCGAGGCTAGAACTCTCGACCCTGCCGTCTTGGCGGGTTAGGTTCAAATACCCCGGATTTATTTTCCGTGGCAAAAACACTTAGTCCTTCCATTTTGGCAAGACGGGTTCGGACTCCCCGAATTTGCTTTATTTTGGGTCTTTATCCCGGATTGGGGTGTGACCCTTTCTCTAGGATCCCATCTCTCCAAACCCGTCTTCATTTTTTCGCGGATTGGGGTGATTCTCTTTCTAGGACCACATTTCTCCAAACCCGTCTTCATTTTTTATAAATAAACTATTTATATTCCGGTGGGCCGGTCTTCATTTTGACTCTATCTTCACAACCTACAAAAGTGAAATGTAAACATTTTGATTTCAAGTTTAGGCCGGAAGTATTCGCCTTTTTTCTCGAGCTCGGCTTCTCTTGCATCGGCTCTTCTTTCAGCTTGGCTTCTTTTGCCCAAATTTTGTATTCATCTAGATGGATTTCCTTACTTGAGTGGATCCGGATCTCTTTCCTTTTTTAAAGGGGATCTCTACACCACCTGTTTAACTATTCCTTACATCACAGCATGAAGAAGATAATTAGCAATAATTTTGGTTCAATCAGCAATCTATGATAATTCAATCAACAAATTATATTTGACCATATGCTATATGATCTGATTGAGCACCCATCCTAAAGCTCCCTGCTCCCTCGTTTTCTTGATATTTATTTATACTACGTGAACATAGGGAACGTGGCCTCATGGTGAAACCTGATGCTCCTTTTTTTTCATGATAATATTTAAATTATCTGCCGGCCTGCTTTTGCCGACATATAAGACTAAACACATGCATAACAATGTTGACCAACTTTCAAAATTATACATTTGCATGTCAATGCTTATGGAAACTTTACATCATATAAGAATTTGGTCCAGCAAGAAGTCATATAAAATCATGAAAATAATTTCCAGGATATAAAAGTAAGGAAAAGAATATTTTCCGGTTATTTTGTAACCATCCTGCTTGCAATAGGGGATGATTCCTGCAGTGGAGTAAGATAAACCAGCTCGGGTTTTTTTAATTTAAGCTCATTGGCATGGTTCCAGCATGTTATTTTTGCCTATTGAAATCTGATCCCAGCTCTGGTTTTGATGCCGAACTGCCATATTTATTGAAGTCCGATCCCAGCTTTGGTAATGACTTGGCTGAGATGCTTATTGTTGGATATTGGCTGAGATGCTTATTGGAGCCAATTTGAATTTCAATCTAACTCCTCTGTATTCTGCATATCAATTACCCATCTTTTGTTTGGGAAAATTGTTAGTGGTCACCATGGGAAAAACTCACCTCATACTTTTGGGTATTTCTCCAAAATATAAATGCATTAATTTCCAGCTAAAATTTTTCATCGGTCAATGAAAAATAAATCAATTGATAATTTGATAATAATATATGATTCATTGGAATCATTGACATTTAGTAATAAACAATTAATTACGTCGCATGAACTCAGCCGGGCTCTATTTGTTGTGATTGATGGTTTTAATCCGGCTTCATAGGCCTG